TGAAATTAATTTAAAATCAATTAGTACACAACCTCTATTTATGTAGAATGATTTATGTAAAAATTACTGAGGTGAAAAGCTGAGAATGTTCACACTGCGAATGTTATAAAAGTACATTTTGATACTTTGTTTTGTGTTTTATCTGTTTAACTCACAGGCCACGCTCTCTCAAAGTTCCCAGGAATAAGCGTACAAGATGTAAGAAGAATAATCCGAAAAAAATGCAACAATGAAAACTACAAGCAAGCTGCTACTAAAAAGACATTGGACATTTAATATTTCTGCACAAAACCAAATACTGTATATGGTTAAAACCTGCTTCCCTTGTTCTGAAAGGTATGTGATTCTTGTGGACGTTTCACAATTCATATTTTAGTCTTTTTTGAAGTGTTAGTGCTTCCAGACAGGTTTAAAATGTGCTCTGTGAACTGAATCTTGGTTTTAAAAACAATATCGCAAATCTTGCAATTAGATTTGCAATATGTGAGTGTAAATTTGGAACTGTTCAGTTGAGCTCAATAAAATACCGCAATCAATATTTGTCACTTAGGAGCTAGAGGTATTACTAGGTTATTTGTAGTACACTTGAAAATGTATTTTTGTACACTAACCAGAGGACTAGAAGTTTATTATTAGTATACTAATAGGAAACCTAAAAGGTTACTTTCAATATACTTCAAAGTGTATTTTCATAAACTAAAATGGGCACTAGAGTTTACTGATGGTAAACTAATAGTATACCAAGATGATTACTTTCAGTATACATTAAAGTGTACTTACATAAACTAAAAGTAGACTTGAAATTTATTAAGAGTAAACTAACAGTATACCTGGAAGATTACCTGAAGTATACTTCAAAGTGTACTTTCATAAACTTAAAGTGGGCCAATTTAGTCCCAAGAAGTATTACTTGTTAGTAAACTGCTAGTACATTTGAATTAGTGTACTTGGTAAATAAAAGTACACTTGGGGAAATACTTTAGTATACTTAATAACATGTACTTGAGGTATACTTCTTTTTGGTAAGGGTTACAGTCAACTGCACATCAGTTCTACAATAGTTCATAGTCAGAGGTTCATTTGATCTTTTCTGCAGCAGTGGAAGTGAATTAAGGGTCAGTGTATAGATTGGCAATTTACAGTCACCAGTCAACCTAACCTGCATCAGCCGAGAGGTTTGAACCCGGACCCTCCTGCTGTGCACCACTGTGCCACTCTGCCAGAATCTCAGTCTGTAGTAGATATTAGGAGTTAGCTTACAGACCTAATATCCTACATAATGTACAGTATATATCACTGTACATTTATAGTACCTAGGTATAAAATGGGAATTTCAACAAATTTTCCCAAATATAAAACTAGTATGGGTATTAGGCTTCCTTGTGGGAATGTAACAATGCTCGTATACTGTGAAAGACAATATGTGTAAACATCAGTATAGCGATATAACGAAAGACCGCCCCGAAGTGGGGGCGAGTGGGGAAATTTTTATGCACACACACACACACACACACACACACACACACACACATATATATGTGCGCCCATCTTTAATTTAATATATTGCAATGTTAATACAAATATCTCTCTTCACTAATGTCTAAAAAGTCTAACTTTTGACAGCTAAAGATTACAAGAGGAGGATATAAGGACTCTTAGTACTAAGTATTTGAAGGGAGGCAAAAATCCTTTCTTCAACCCCACTGGGAAAAGAGCACTTCTACCACTAAGAGATCTGCACTATTTCTTAACACCAGACGACGGGGAGCTGTCTCCTCCTGTCGGATCTCTTGGACACTGCTAACGCACCGCTCTCGCCTTCTTGCCTATTTTCGTCTGTACTTGTCAGCTGTGTGGAATGCGCGGACGCACATTGTGCAGCCCCCCATCTGAGGGTCCAGCCTGCAGTCATCCTCAGTGTCCCAGGTCTTTGGTCGGAATCATTCCTCCTTCTTTGCTGCACTGACTTCTCTCTTTTCTCCCATTCCTCTCGCTGTTGTGCTGCTGAATCGGTGAGTAACGAGGCGTCGTCCTCTTGGGACTCGGTTAGAAAGTTGAAGCTGGGAAAGGTCCCGATGTGCGCAGCCTGCATGTGTGTCACCACATCTATTTTTATACGCGAGTCCTTCCCATGCTGGAGCACATCAGCCGGAAACACAGCTGATACTGTTACCGTGAGGAGACTATTCAGTCGTTTATTGTTTACTTTTTTTGTGCAGTTCATATTTTTTGTGCTTGAGTTAATCTTTTTGAGCCACATGTTTATTTGGGAGCGTCCTTGGTCTGATGTGTGTGCTGTCACAGAATGTCACCGGGTATTAAATGAACTGCTCGTTGCCAGTACTGTTTTAATGCAACCTACACGTTCTGTTTTTGTATAATTATTAAATTCAGGCAGACGCAAAACTCCTTGGGGCAAATGTGTAACGTGATATTGGGCTGTACAAATCAAAATAGACTTGACAAAGGGCAGTGGGCGCCTTGGTTTTATGTGTATGAAAGCAAAAAAAAGCTTTTTTTTTATTTAAAAGAATTCTCACAATCTCTGCAGCTATTTAGCTTCTTTTATCTCTTTGTTTTGGTTTTCTGGCCAAGAAAGAGATGTTACTTTCAAGACCATAAGAGTAAATATTGGGCTTAGATTCAATAGGTGGACAAACAGCTCCAAATGAATGATGATGTTGTTCATGCTGAAAGTCAATTAAACAACTACAAAGATGCACACTGAGAATGAGAATGAACATGTTACCATCTTTACTAACAGCATGTTACCTACAAGCCCTGACATATTCATCCACTCACATTTTCTCTAATGTTGCCCTAGTCTTTCAGGTGACCCTGCTGAAGGATGTCTTCTACACCAGAACTGACCACCCACCTCTTCCCAACACTGACCTCCTTCCCCTCAGCCACTCCAGGAGTTTCAGCTGAACCTAATGCCACCTCATGTCAAGAGTGGGAGCAGGTCCATCACCTCCTCTTCCATCTGGGGAATCTGTCACTGTTGCTGGGCCTTGTCATCCCCACTACCCTGGGCCTGCACATCATTCTGCTGCGCCTGTTTCTATTGACAGGTCGGTCCAGAGCGCCCTCTGCTGATGTCATTCATGTGCTGATAATACTGTAGGTGGAAATATTTACCACAGCCTCACTAGGGCTTAATCTAATCAGATGTGCCCTGTGCAGTAAAGCATCGGTCAATTATTACCACCAGCTTGATGAGCATTTGGTTTAGTTTAGTTATTATTTGGAAGATTTGGCTTTTTTAACAGCTCCACAAGAGGTATCTCTTCAACAGAGCTGAGGCCCTAAAAGGCTCAGGTAGTGGTAGATAAAGGAAGGAGAGAACAGCAGATGGAAAATGCACTTCCAACATGTTTATCTTCTACTTGGAAGGAGAGTGGAGACAGGAAGCAGCAGGAGTTAGAGGAAATGTGGTTGTAATTTTGACAGTTATTTATATTGCCCTTTGGCCCAGTCTCAGAGTTATACAAAGACAAAGAAAGAACAAGGATGAAGAGTAAACTATCAGAGCTACAGTAGTTAATCTTGTAAGCTACTTTAAAATATTTAAAATGCCTTCATATTTGTTTACCTGCATAAGTCGTAAATGGGCTGTAGGTTTGAACTTCAAAGCTGGTTGCTATGGTGAACGTTTCAATGAAACTTTATGCCGACTTCAAAAACTGAAAAGTCTAAATTTGTGTTAAGTCCTCAACAATTCCATGTACAAGCAACATGTCCCTGGACCACCATGGAAATAAGTTGTTACCTTTATGTTTGTGTAACATTTTATTTTATGTTGTTGCATGATCCATTTTCCATTCTGGATAGGATCATTATTTTTGTTTTTGGTTATTCACATTTTACTTCTGTAAATTGTCTATATCAGTGTAACAAAACATAGGGTGCACACTTCCAAAAAACCTTTGCAGGTGCTAAGCTCCCAGCACTTTAATTCAACAGCAATGTTTTGATCTAAAGAAGATCTTCATCGGGCATTTTTAGATGCAGTGTGCACATCCTCTGTCTGATTTTGCCAGCAATAAATCTGAGTACACTGAATGAATGTGTTGAAATTACAACCACAGTATATTTGATTTTGCCTTTATGAATGAATATTAAATCAGACTGAAGTATTCAACTTGGGTCAATTTAGACTTTGAATCTTTGAATTATAGCTTAACATGCAGCATCTAGACACATCTTTTCCTAAATGGAATTTGTTCTATGTCTCTAACACAGGATGTGGGCTCTTAATAGCATGGGCCGCTCTGTACAGGTGCAACCTGGACGTAATGATTTGGAACGTGGTATTTCTGGTCGTCAACTTCATGCACTTGTTCTTCCTCTTGTACAAGCGAAGGCCAGTAAGTTCAGCCTGCCCTCATTCACATCTTACCTGTCACTTTACATTCAGGCCATTTGAGTGTTATACCAAATTCAAATACTGGCTCCAGGTGTGTTTCTTCTGAGGCTCAGTGTTGAGTTTTCCATTACTGTCTCTGGCAATCAGCAGCATATCTTTCTGGGTTTGGCCCTGGTTTATGGTAATGAGATGCAGATTTTATGAAGGGGCCTTCAGTGTGCTAACATAATGGGATCAGGACTGTCAAAATGAGACACTGCTCATTTACCATTTTACCAGCTCTTTGAATATTTTCACATAGACCACAGCAGCATTACTGAAGTTTCCTTTTTATGATAGATGCTCATTGGAAGGAGAAGTTAATGCTGTGGCTCTGCTCTACCAGATTAAGATCGACAGGGAGCTGCGAGCGGTCTACAAGCGAATGTTTGAGCCCCTCCATGTGCAGGAGGCTCTATTTCAGAAGCTCACTGGACAGTTCTGCACCATCCAGACATTGAAGAAAGGCCAGGCCTACGCAGCAGAAGACAAGACCTCTGTCGATGAACGCCTTAGCATCCTCCTCAAAGGAAAGTATGTGCTGTTTGTTGATGTCTCAGGGATAAATGTGATTTATGATGTACCGACAAACACTGCAAGTGTTCACTGGAACACATGAATATCTTCTTTTCATTTATAGATATTATGTTCAATATGTTAATGTGTACACTATTTTGTTAATATTATTTCAAATTACCATGAGCAAACAGACGCACACTTGTTTCAACATCCAAATGTGTCACAATTTGTCTGCTTTTCCCCACTGTTCTGTGGTTTACACCTGTTATAATGTTACAAGGCAGTGCAAGCAGCACTCAGTGGACATGACAAAACTGTTAGTGTTCCATCTTTGTCCACCACTGGATGGAGCTTTTTTAGTGTGTCGTATTTCCTGTTTGTCTGTTTTCCTTCTTTAAGACTTTTGACTGGCTCTTTGTTGTTTGGAAGCCTTCTTCGTGGGCAGTGGAAGGGTAAGGGAGCAACCCAGCTGTTCTCTTTGTTTTGGTAAACGTCATTGTCCATTACGGCTAAAAATGTCTTATCCTCTATGGATAATGTGAACTTATCATCATTCCCGGTTCTATCAAACACAGAGTGTCCTAGGGTGTCCGTAGGCTGAGCAACGTCTGTCGTGTGCATACAACCTGGGCTTGTTGAGCTGTGCCGTCGCGAGGTGCACTCACTATTCTCTTTTACATGAATTACGTTCGGGCAGGGTTCAAAATAAGACACACGCCCACCTTCCAAGGTGTGTGTCTTGTACACATTGACTTGTGATGATTTATGAACTTTTCCTAAACATACATCTCCCACAATAACCCAGCCTAAGTCTAGCCTTTGGGCGTAAGGAGTGTTGCTGGGTCCGTTGATTTGTTCACGTACCTTATGC